CCCTTCCAGTTTAATTACATAGGGCAATAATAATCAAGCTTCTGTTTATCTCCCCTTGTTCTTGTCCTTCTCGTATAGACGATTCTTTCCATCTTAACCAACATTTAATCGCGAGTGGGTCGACAGTTATTGGCAAGGTTACATACCCCCTGGTTTGCCTGTTGATTAAGAGTAAATAGGCGCCCACTGGGTTTTAACAGACTGCTGTGATAGTATACATTGGTTTGGCAGACTGCTGTGATAGTATACATTGGTTTGGCAGACTGCTGTGATAGTATACATTGGTTTAGCAGACTGCTGTGATAGTATACATTGGTTTAGCAGACAGTTGTGATAGCATACATTGGTTTACCAGACTGCTGTGATAGTATACATTGGTTTAGCCGACTGCTGTGATAGTATACATTGGTTTAGCAGACTGCTGTGATAGTATACATTGGTTTAGCAGACTGCTGTGATAGTATACATTGGTTTAGCAGACTGCTGTGATAGTATACATTGGTTTAGCAGACTGCTGTGATAGTATACATTGGTTTAGCAGACTGCTGTGATAGTATACATTGGTTTAGCAGACTGCTATGATAGTATACATTGGTTTAGCAGACTGCTGTGATAGTATACATTGGTTTAGCAGGCTGTTGTGATGGTGTACATTGGTTTAGCAGACTGTTGTGATAGTATACATTGGTTTAGCAGACTGCTGTGATAGTATACATTGGTTTAGCAGACTGCTGTGATAGTATACATTGGTTTAGCAGACTGCTGTGATACTATACATTGGTTTAGCAGACTGTTGTGATGGCATACATTGGTTTAGCAGACTGAGACTGATAGTATACATTATTTAGTATACATTAGATGATTAATAATGTATACTAATGATTGCTTTGTGCTTCAGTGCCATGGTATAACATCCACTGGAAAATCTTGTAAAAACTATAACCTACAATACCATGGCTGGAATACTTCATAACAAATCAACAATATACTTGTAGCAGGAAAAAATCACAGCTAACCCGGAAAACTTTTGCTCCAACAAGTCCCAAATAACCACATACCGCGGAAAGAACCACTTTAAACTAACCCACAATACCGTCACGGAAGCAGAGCTATTGCCACTATTGTTTTAAGAGCAGAGCAGTAGTTGTGGTATCCAGTCTTGAGTATTCGTAGTTACAGGAGAAAAGCTATAGTCTTGATATTCGTCTTCAGTATTGGTACTGGAGCAGGACTAAGGTCCGGGTATCCCAGTCTTCGGTGTTTTTAATAACAGGAGCAGAGCTATGGTCACGGTGTCCTATGTTTGAAGTTGTAGGACAGAGTTATAGTCGTGGTGTCCCGTCTCTAGTGTTGTAGTTACAGAAATAGGGTTATGGTCCAGGTATTCGATGTTGTTATTTGCAATTAAGGGACAACGACCCTTGTTTATTTATCTTCCGATTTTGTTCATTTTTGGTCTACTTTAAGAAGCGTATATTCATGCTACTATGACAAAGTTCCTTTCCTTGTTCACTGTATGTGGCAGCATTTGATGAAATAACTTTGAAAACAAGTCTGGTGCTCCGGGGTTATGGGGAAATATCGTCTAGCTTCGGCTAGGCGCCCATACTTATCTGGGGTCTGGCAGAGTTTGCAGGTTCGAGTCCTGTTGTGGACGTAGAGATAATGTTTGTAAATAGTTTCTCCTGTTTTAGAATTGTTAAGCATTTCAAAATCTCTTTCGAAGTTCACTGCATGTGGCAGGATTTGATGAAATAACTTATAACTAGACGGGTGTTCCGGGGTAAAGGAGTGACCGTCTAGCTTCAGCTAGGCGTCCATATTTATCTGGGATCTTACTGAGTGGCTTAAGTACTGCGTACTTTGATGCAGTGTGTGCATATATTCAAGGAATAAGATAACAGTAATATACGATCACAGCAAACAGGTGACATCACAAAATGCAAAATAACTACAATGAAAAAAATAGTGAAATTCCAAGCGTTTTCGTTATTTCTCACATAATCAAGGAATAGTAAAAATAACAGGAAAACATAAGACTTATAAATCTGAATAACCTCAAATAGGACCCTAGTCATTGAACATAAGAATCAAGAAACACTGCCGGAGGACTACTGGCCCATCCTTGGTAGGTCTTTCTCAAAACCAGCTATTCCGACCCACCTAATTGCCTAATTTTTATCCAAAGCCACCGAAGATTTTGCTAAGAGCGTGAAAGTGTACTCAAAATTTTAGTTCAGTCACATGTTATTTTTACTTTTTAAGAATGACATATCAGGAAGAAATTTAAAATCCATACAGTTATTTTTCATTGAAAATGAATCTAATTTATACAACCCAAGACTTATATTCATATTCAATCAGTACTATTTTTTTTAAGCTTGACTCAATTACACTTTGCTCACTCATAGTGTTGCTTAATACAACCTTCTCAGCCTTTTCAATACCAAATGAATGGTTTAAATATCTCACATTGATAAACAGAGAATTATACTCTTGTCCAGTTCTAATGTCATACTTATGTTATTGTAATCTTAGATCAAGACTTTTCTTCCAGTTTAACCATAATAAACTTTATTGCATTTGTAAAACTTGTAATAAATGCAATACGGTATATGATATATCGATGTTGAATCTAGCTGCTAACGAAAAATAAAATTGCTAAACTTTGAATATATCACTATAGGATTAAGTTGGCAACGTTTGAAAAGTGCATATCACTGTAGGATCAAGCTGGCAACGTCTGAATAGTGTATTTCACTGTAGGTTCAAGTTAGCCACGTTTGAAAAGTGCATATCACTGTAGGATCAAGCTGGCAACGTTTGAATAGGATATATCACTGTAGGAACAAGCTGAATTTATAAGCCAAATATGGCAATATTGCTGTTTTTTCGTTAGTTTTGTCCTGGTATTGAAAATTTACAGCGAGTCTCCCGAAATTGGGAAGCATCGCCATTCTTGGTTTGGGAACAAACCTTTTATAATATTTAAGCAAAGCATGTTTAGTTTTTTAAGAGGTAGACGTCACACAGGTAGGCGTCACATACATGTCACACTGACGTCATACAGGTAGACGTCGCACAGGCAAACGTCACACAGGCAGACATCACCCAGGTAGACATCATGCAGGCAGACGTCATACAGGCAGACGTCACATAGGCAGACGTCACATAGACATCAAACAGAAAGACGTCACTCAAGCAGATATCGTATAGGCAGACGTCACTCAGGTAGACACCAAACAGGCATTCGTCAGACAGGCAGACATCCAAAGGGAAGACGTCACACAGAAACAAGTCAGACAGGCAGACATCAAACGGGAAGTCGTCCGACAGAAAGAGGTCATACAGGCAGACATCAAACGGGAAGACGTCCCACAGAAAGACGTCATACAGGCAGACATCTCACAATCAGACGTCTCACACTTACACGTCACACAGACGTCCCACAGGAAAATATCACCTGGGGAAACGTCTCAGCGAAATATCACATTCATAAGCAAGCGCTAAACCCATAAGGGGGACAGAGTGCCTGTAGAATGAAAAATAATCAGACTTCATTCAAGGAAAGAGATAGCCCAGTTCCTTTAACAACGATCCCTTCACTAGAATCAAGATACGGTGGAACCTCTGGTCACGAACGCTTCCGAACACGAACAGATCGGTTCATAGCCAAAAAAAACAATAGCCAAATTTTTGCATCTGGTCACGAACACATAATCGGGTACCGAACAAACACAGCCGTGCCATTTTTCACATTCCACACCAATTGATAAAGTCGTCTCTCATTTCCGTAACGTTTTGATGCAAAGGAAAAGACAAGTCACATTAGATGGGTTTATGGTGAAGTTTGGTCCACCAGCTAAACGAGAGAAAACACCTGAAGGAGAACTACTCTCCATCACGGAGGTGGACTCTCCCTCAAAACAGGAACCTCCTCCCCAGTTATCTTCCTCCTCACTTCCTTTACGCCAGAAGTCAACTCATGCAAGGTTAGTTTTCTTGCTTGTTTACGGTATGTTTTTTTCTCTGTTGTTTAAATTTTTTCTCTATTAAACTGTGCATTATTTTGTATAATTAAGGATTTTTCAAGCTTTGATTATTTTTTGTGTGCTTAAAACTCAAAAAAAAAAAAACTGTTTACAGTGAACGGTTCGTAGGGGTCTAGAACGGACTCGTCCAAAGTTAGTTTTCTCTGTTGTTCAATGTTTTATCAGTGTTATTAAAGGTTTTTACATTTAATTTAGTATTACACTGTGCATTCTATGATATAATTAACTACTTTTGTGATTACAAATCTTCAAAAAAAATATTTACATACAGTTCGTAGGGGTCTGAAACAGATTAATCGTATTTACATACAATCCAATGGGAAAATTAAGTTCGGGTCACGATCAAATCGGGTCACGACCAGAGCTTTGGAATGAATTATGGTCGTGAACAGATGTTCCACTATGCAAGAGTTAAAGGTCACAGTGAGTTAGATTCTTAGATCAGTTAGGAAAATTAAGTTACTCTATTTTGGTTTGGTTTCATTAGGTTAGGTTAAACTTCATTAGGGATAAGTTAGGTTAGGTTAAGTTAATTACGTTACAGTGAGGTTACTGTTAGGTTCAATTAAACTAAGTTAGGTTAGGCTAGTTTAAACTTGATTAGGGATAAGTTAGATTAGGTTAAATTTGTTTGTTGAAGTTAGGTTACTGTTCAATTATGCCAAGTTAGAATATATGAAATTAAGTTATTTTCTTATGTTGGTTTTAGTGCAAAATAATAATAGTAGACAAGTTATCTTCACGGGGATGCGCTAAACCCCTAGGGTTCATACAGCGTCTAGGGGAATGGGATGCACCCATATTTTAATCCAAGAGAGGGGAGGGTAGCTCCAATTCCTTGAATCAAGAATCCTTCACCAGCATCAACAATTTCTTTCCAGAAGAGAATTCTCTTTTATTCCTCTCAAGGTGAATTTTTTTCTTATGTAATGGCCAGAGAAACAAGAGTTTCTGTCGTCTCCAAATTTTATATATATGGTACACGAATTTTGGGGATTAAAAGGGAGGGGGAGGTTAACAAGGTTAGGTTATGTTCGTCAGAAAACAGAACAAGTGTTTCCTGAAGCGGGTCTTAGATGATGGCCCGCCGTTGGAGCTTTTGGTCATCTGATCGAGGCCTTCTGCTGGCTTAAATGCTCACCCCATTAAATATTATGGTCATAGTTATAACCAATTTTCAAGGTTAATAAGGAGAATCTCCTCCTTCACAATTAAAACACTAGTGAAAAATTTATGATGTTATGTCTGCTGTGAGTATTTGTCTGAGAAACTAAAAATATGGAAAGTGGTGTTGTGAAGAAGAGACAAGCTGCAGGGCAAACTTTTATTGGGACGACGTTTCGCTCAGTGTAGGAATATCAGGTCACTAAGTTGTGTTTAGATTGGCTTGGTCACTCACTCTTGGAAGGTCGTTTCAGGAGGTGTTCTCAGAGAGCTGTGCAGGGACGAGCGGGTAAGAAGACGACATTCACACGAACAAAGAGCGAGGCTTCACATTGACATGAACAGAGAGCAAGGCTTCACATTGACATGAACAAAGAGCGAGGCTTCACATTCACAGGAACAGAAAGCGAGGCTTCGCTTTCACACGAACAGAGAGCGAGGCGTCACATTCACACGAACAAAGAGCGAGGCGTCACATTCCCACGAACAGAGCAATTCGTCACGCTCACGCTTAAGCCAGTCGTTGACACAATCTAAGCTTGTCCTGCAACGCTTGTCTGTTCTTCCCTATTGTCTGCAGTTCGACATTTGGATCCAAGTTTTGCAGTGCTTCCTGTGTGTGTTTAATGGTACATGCCATTATCTTTCTCGCGCAAAGAAACTAAATTTATGATAGAAAGCCACAACTAACAAATATCAGGAACTGGCGTAATAACCGCACATCACATTGCCTCTTCGGTTGAAGACACAACATGAGGTGCTTAATGATACTACTGAATAGCTTTTGTTTATAGTGGTTTTCCACAATTTACATTATTTTTTTTCCGTTATTGTGAAATACTAATAAGGATGATGAACATACTTCGTAAACATTACAAAGTAGTACATAACGATGGACTTTGCATGGAGCACTTGACAGGAAATATTCGTCTCTTATCTACAAAATATTACTAATGAGAGATTATCTCAAGGACTACTGTGGCACATTTCTCCATACATTTTGAGGAGATTAGGATAGCATCTCGACTACGATTCGACTCCCTTTTGCCACCAACTTCTGGTAGCAGAGCACGTATTGTTGCTCGCATCCCCAGCAAGGGAGGCAGAGCTAACTAGCACCTTTATTGTTGTCAGAATCATGGGAGGTGGAACTAGTTTAATGGTATGTGGACGGTATGCACATCTCTAGTGGGTATTCTAAGGCTCTAGAGGGCATCCTACAGTTCTAGTAAGTATTCTACAGCACTATGGGGTTTCCTACAACCATACACTAGTAGGTATTTTATTGTACTAGCGGGTATCCTACAGTCCTACCACTATCTTATAGTCCTAGTGGGCATCCTACCTTATAGTCCTACCACTAGTGGGGTAGCCTAGTCTGACCACCAGTGGGTATCCTACAGTCTTACCAGAGGTGTCCTAGTCTCACTAGTGGGTACAATTGTAATACCACCAGTGGGTACCTTACAGTCCTGTCACTAGTAGGTATCCTACAGGCCTACCACTGGTGGGTATCCTACAGGCTTACCCCTGGTGGGTATCCTACAGGCTTACCCCTGGTGGGTATCCTACAGGTCTATCCCTGGTGGGTATCCTACAGGCCTACCCCTGGTGGGTATCCTACAGGCTTAGCCCTGGTGGGTATCTTACCATCCCACGACTAATGGGTATCCTACAGTGCCACCACTAGTGGGTATCGTACAGTGCCACCACTAGTGTGTATCCTACAGTGCCACCACTAATGGGTATCCTACAGTCCTCCCACTAGTAATAGGAGACAAAGGATTCTGCTAAGGCAACTCCTTTGCCTACATATTTAGGAGTATAAAGAGCGATGCTGGTCCCTATTGCTTTTCATAAATTGATAATGTATATTGCATGGATCATGCATAATGTAGTGAAAATGCATGTTAGAATAAGCTTAAGGAACTAAGTTTGCTGTAGGCTGTTGTATATCTAAGTATTTCTAAGAATCTCTTAACTCTCTACAGCTGTGTTTCTATCCCTACAGGGGACTTACATGACCAGCATATAACAGCAGTCTTCTTGTACTCTAATTATCTAAGGTTAATGAGGGGCGGAATTAGAAGTCCCCGAACCTAGACCGATTTCTAGGCGCTCAACGATTAGAGGGCGGAGTTAGTAAGCAAACTCTCACACTAGTTTACTTACCTTAAATATGAGAGAAAAATCAGAGTAGAAGCATGTAATGATCATTTTGTAACTGTCAGTCATATCAGGTAAAAGTCACTATCACCTGCTGAATGACTTCTTAAGCACTCGCAAACGTATGGTAGGGAGCCGCTTCTTTCTGGGGAGAGCTTTAGCAAGTCATGACTAAATAAAGCTCTTCCCAGAGCTAGACATTGTCTCTAATAAAGCTATGCATGTGTGTCTACCATACGTTTAAGCAGTACCTGCCATCCAGCACGCTGAAGCGGAGATTATCATGTCTGTGTTATGCTGCCACTACAAACATGGGTGGTTGAGCTTTAATGGCACGTAAAATACTTTTAACCACTTTAAGACACAAATAACGTCACATATCCCCATAAATGTATTTCTGGTGCACATCATCCAACAGTCTGACGGACGGAGGAGTGAGCTTCCACCACTCCTTTTTGATGCATGACCCACACTGATTTAGTGTGTTGCGAAATTCGATGCCATTCGTGCACCTCCGTCTTATACAGAGGAACCAGTCATCCGTCAGCTCACTCCATCGGTGAGTTACGTCATACACGGAAGAGCCAATCACTCGTCAGCTGACCACAGCGATGAGTTACGTCACAAAAAGGAGGAACCAACCATCCATCAGCTCACTTCAGCGACGAGTTACGTCAAGCACCGTCAGCTCATTCACTAAGGAACCAATAGCTTGTCAGGTCACTCCAGCGTTGAGTTATGTCACACACAGTGGGTGGAGCTTGAGGTTACCGTCAGGCAGGTATTTGTCAAGGCAGGCGTGGTGGGCTGGGCGAGGACACGGCAGGAACTTACCAGCTTCGTACTCCTCCCAGCCTGAGCTGCGACCTGGAGGTGAGTACACATTATAGTGCTATGCTAATATACACACTTGTGCCCTGTATCATGATACTGTGGGTTTAGGAACTAGTGCGAAGTATATATACAGTGGATCTACACACACAGATGTATATAATACAGTGTTGGTATAACCATAGGCGATATATATGTAGTGCCGAATAGGTAAAACTTGCGACTTTGGATTAAATAGCAACGCTCTTCTTGCCGAATAAGGCAAGCAAAAATTTGTGCATGCAATAATTTCGCAAAAATCCTTCGGAACCTAACGAAAAAAAAAATATTTCATTGTGTGTGTTTATTATTAAATTATTGTAAACTTAAATATATTTAGTTGGATTAGGCAAAATTAAAGTGCGCTTGTTATCATAAGGTTAGGTAAGTTTCTTTCGGTAAAAAAATATTATTTTTTACATTAACTTAAATGAAAAAAATATATCTTTAAACGTATAAGAGAAAATTTTGGAAAGGATTTAATTTTAAATGCGTTCTTGCTACTTGACCAGTTTTACCTATTAGGCACGACATACACACACACACAAACACAAACACACAGCTGAGTATCGACCCCTGCAATCATAATTAGTGTGAGTACACACACACACAATATATATATATATATATATATATATATATATATATATATATATATATATATATATATATATATATATATATATATATATTAGTAGTGTTCAAGTTAATTATGACATTAATGAAATAAGACATACGGAAAATTAATGTTTATTTGAAAATTACACGACAATGATATGACAAATAATTGATTTAATAAGAGATATGACTACCATTTGTTTTTGTAAGTATTGCTACACACTGCGGCATAGAAACCAATGTTGAACATATTTTGGCAGGTTGGTCATGGTACCAGGTCCTAATGACAGCAGCAGTTAGCTTCTCTTCAGTTGAACAGTTCTGTTTCGCGATCCTGCGTTTGGTTATTGCCCATAGATTCTCAATTCGGTTGTCAGAAGAGTTTCCCGGCCATTTTTCTGGAAGTGTGGCATGGAGCAAGATCCTGCTGGAAAATGCCTTCTCTACCAGAAAAGTCTTTATCCGCTGTGGGAAGCAAGAGAGTTGAAAGGGAATCCCTCGTATTTGTCAATGTTCATTGTTCCCTTAACACTAACAACTCGTTCAAAGCCTTTAGCAGAAAATCTACATCAAAACAACATCTTAGGTGGGGTGCTTGTTGAATTGTGTCCATTCCGAAGAGGTTTGACTTTACTTAGTCTCACTAATGTACTTCAAAATGCGCCTTATCTGAAAATATAACTTTTCTCCATTAATCTGTCGTCCATCCTTTATGATCGAGTGTCCTCCGCAGCCATATTTTTTTCATATCAGCAGTCAATAATTGTTTCTTTATTGGCTTTCTGGCAGTTCTGCCAAAACCAAGAAGCCTTCGTTGAACAGTAGATCTGTAGATCTTTACTAGTTTTCTTGGGATCCTTCACACTATTTATGATAACTTTGTCATCGTGAGGTGTTTTCTTGCGTTATCTTTCTCGACGCAGCGCTCCACAATCACCAGTGTCGTCAGCTCTCTTCAGAATTCGACCAACAGTTGACTTTGCTAGGCTAAAATTTTCTGCGACCTATCTGATGCTCATATCAGCATATTTCCTAAGAGCTGCAATATTTGCACGCTTCCTAGGCATAACATCCATCATGAATTTCAGCAGTAATCATGAAATGAAGGGGAGAATTTGGCGAAACCACAATCACTCACGAAGCATGTTTGCACGAATAGCCTTACAGAACAACAGCTACTGTAGCACTGACGAGAGTCGCAGGGTAATACCACAGTGGGATGGTTGCCAGAAGTCGGTAACAAACTCTTCTGAAAAGAAGAGAGCCCAAACTACATTAAGCCGGAGACTAAGGCATACTGTGAGATAATAGCAAAATTTATTCCGCTCATAATTAATTTATACACTACTGTATATATATATATTATATATATATATATATATATATATATATATATATATATATATATATATATATATATTACACACACAATGTGGGTTCATAATACATACAATTTACGGAACTGAAAGTTTTGAAGTCGAATAATGGAAGCAAAATATATCAGCGAATTTCCGTTTTTTCTGGACGTATAATATCTGCTAATTAGAGAAAGTGAAAGAAATTGGAGGGAAAATTGAGAAGTTTGAAAATAATCTGCAGTATAAGCTATTAATCTTTGAAATTCATTATAACATGAAAATAAAATTGCCAGAAATACACTCAGGATTTTTTGCACATGGGTAAAAAAAATTCACACACACACACACACACACACACACACACACAGGGACAAGGGGTCACAACTGGAAGCTGAAGACTCAGACGAGTCACAGGGACGTTAGGAAGTATTTCTTCAGTCATAGAGTTGTCAGCAAGTGGAATAGCCTAGCAAGTGAAGTAGTGGAGGCAGGAACCATACATAGTTTTAAGAAGAGATATGACAAAGCTCAGGAAGCAGAGAGAGAGAGGATCCAGTAGCAATCAGTGAAGAGGCGGGGCCAGGAGCTGAGTCTCGACCCCTACAACCACAATTAGGTGAGTACAATTAGGTGAGTACATACCTGTATCCAGCCAGTGTTGGGCATGACGGAAGACTTCGACGCCATAGCGGTTCCTCACATACTGCCCAGGACTGGTGGGTGCTGGTACCCACGACCCATCAAACTCTATCCTGTAGCAGAAGCAGAAGTTAACTCAACCTGCAACTATTATTATTATTAGTATTAGTATTATTATTATTATTATGGTTAGCGTAAATCTTGCAGGATCATACGGCGCTTGGGGAGTTAAGATTGTTTGATCCGGGGAAAGAGAGGGGGGTAACACCAACTCCTCGTATCAAGAACCCTTAGCCAGTATCAAGGTTCTGAATGTGTTAAACGTATCTCGTCAAGTGAGATACCTTGACTCTGGTGAAAAGCTCTTGATCCAAGGAATTAAAACTGTCCTCCCTTTCCTTGGATCAGATGAGAGTGCCATCCATTCCCGAACACGCTGTGTGGCCCCTAGGGGTTTGGCACTTCCCCCTTAACATATACACTTACGGGTATTTCTCGTATACTGTTCTAAGAAAATTATTCGACATTATTTAAGTTAGGTTGGCTTAAGTTAGGTTGATTTAAGTTAGGTTGGTTGAAGTTAGGTTGGTCTAAGTTTGGTTAGGTTGGTACAAGTTGCATTAGGCTGGTTTAAGTGTGGTTAGGTTGGTTTAAGCTCGGTTAGGTTGGTTTAAGTTAGGTTAGGTTGGTTTAACTTTGGTTAGGTTGGCTTAAGTTACGATAGATTGGTAGGTAAAGTAAGGGCAGCAGAGGATGGTCCATCAGCAAGAAGGGAAGGTAATTAAGTTAGGTTGGTTTAGGTTAGGTTAGGTTTAAGTTTGGTTAGGTTGGTTGAAGTTACATTAGGTTGATATTAGTGTGGTTAGGTTGGTTTAAGTTTAATTAGGTCGGTTTAAGTTTGGTTAGATTGCTTTAAGTTAGGTTAAGTTGGTTTAAGTTAGGTTAAGTTGGTTTAAATTAGGTTGGTTTAAGTTTGGTTAGGATGGATTAAGTTACGTTAGATTGGTTAAGTTAGGTTAGGTTTGGTTTAGTTGAGATGAAGTTTGGTTAGATTTGGTTTAGTTTAGTTAGGTTATGTTAGGTCTGGTCAGGTTTAGCTAGCCTAAGTTTGGTTAGGTTAATCTAACACCACAACACCAGTAAATTAAAACACCTCAATACCAGTAAATTAAAACACGGTATTCCAGTGTCACTGTCACACTTTCCAGTATCACAGTCACACATTTGACGTTCTTAGCTAAAGTAATACACTGACGTTAATTAGGAGGATGTAATGTATTGGTGACGAAGGAGGGTGGGGAGGTGTTGTGATTCAGAGTGTCATTGGAACCGCGATCTCTCTCATTTTTTGACAAGACAGCAGCTGGTGGTGAATATGCATCTTTTTTGTTCATCTTAACTAGATGGGAAATAAACAATTTGATAAAACTAAGAAACAATATTGAGTTTAGGTCCAGGTATGAATTCAGTTATTTACTTGTGCTTGAACATAGAAGCAACTTCTGAGGATCTTGGAAATAATAATTACTTTTTGTGCAAATACTAACCATTGATTACTATCGAGTCATGTGACACGACTGTCCAGTTACTCACCAGTACTCTCTCACGCCTGACCAATAACAAACGCACATTCAAAAACACACTGTTTCCATATCTACCAACAGCAGATGATTTTTTTCTCTTTGTGATCATGTAAATTTACTTTTTACGAAATTAATTCGTAACCTAACCTAACCTGATTATTTATTAGGCTATGTTTTATTACACATAAAGGTAACGTAACCTAAACCTAACCAAAACTAAACCGAACCTAACCAAACATAACCCAGCCTATCCTCAACTATTCAGAAGTCAATTTTATCGTATCCATCCCATCAGACACATATGCAATTTCTGGGTATTTTTACTTGGTAAATGTTTCGCCATCCAGTGGCTTTATCAGTAAGAAACACGGACATAAACGGAAAACTGTAGAAGAGAAGGCACTCAGTCCCTTAGCCTCGTAGACTTACATACAGAAGACAGTAGAAAGTGAGGTAATCAGTCCCTCAGCAAGGAGCAGATACTGAACACCGTAGTCTACGGTGTTTATCATTTTGTCATTATTGTATACGATTGATATTCTACAAAAAGTAGTCTGTATGTTCAAGTATAAAGGCCAAGATCGGTCCAAGACCTCAACTCAATATGGATAGCAAGCAGACTGCACAGTGCCACCATCATTTAGATACTACAGTTGCAGAAAAATTTGCAACAGCAGTCATTTCTCCGCATCGCTTGACAGTGAACTATAAGCCCAGTTAAAACCACCTCAAAATATATGGAAAGGAACTTATTATTTCTGCAAGTTCTTGCCTCGAAATCAGTACTGATAGTCGCATAAAAAGACAACGTGTGTTTATGAATCTTTAATTGGCTCCAATACTGTCTGCAAGTAATTAATAAGCTTTTTTAATCATAGCAAATCAAAGATTAGGAATAGACTTAATGACGACACACTGTGCTCCATTATGCTACTGTCATCTACAAAATTTAATTAGTCATTGATCAGGCCCTGATCCACCATGAGGCCTGGTCACAGACCGGGCCGCGGGGGGCGTTGACCCCCGGAACTCTCTCCAGGTATTCTCCAGAGCAAAAAAAAAATCTTAACGTGTCAAGTATTACATTTAAAAACTTATCTCGGTGATAGGCATATTGTTCAGTATTGCTTTTATAATATAAAAGCAAGGCTAAATAAAATCTGTTGTGTACTGTATTTTGGTAATCGCTGTCAGCCAACTGTAGATTATCTAAGCTACTCTTATTACAAATAACTGAAAACTATAATATATAATTCATCTAAAATAATAATATGGTATAAATGTTGTGGCCGTCGCTCATGTCACATGCAGTGTGCATTCCTAAAAGAACAAAAAGGCACAGTATCGTGACTGGAGCAAAACACAAGTAACCCGCACATTGGAGTGTGACTTTGTAAATGATCCAAGTCGGGCCGAGACGTCGTTGTAAGCTCCTGTCTTGTGTGTGGATAATTTGTGCAGTGTGCATTCCTACCTTAGTGTGTTGGTAGCCCCACACACGATGTTGAAGTAGGAGGATGGGCTGTGATATTGTCGTTCAGACTTTGTTTTCGCTCAAGATACGACTGAAGAGAGTCAACTAACTCTCGGGTATTTGTTTACTGATAAGTGGATTCAAGCAGTAGCAGTATGTCTCACCCTGGTCGTTAATCGACATTTTAATTGGGCAACGACTGTTCTGACCACAGAACGGCTAATGTAGTTTAACACAGATATTAGAGTTTGTACTCTAATGTGTAGATAATATTAGAGTGTGTACTCATCTATATGTGGTTGAAGGTGTTGATCCACACCACCTGGTCTGTGTGTGTTGTGTGTGTGTGTGTGTGTGTGTGTGTGTGTGTGTGTGTGTGTGTGTGTGTGTGTGTGTGATAAAGATAGCGTGGAACATGGTATTAAGAGTATAAACTATGTGTAATAGGCTTATAAACAAAGAATTAGGCTTGTAAACAAGGCGGAAGACGTGTGAACAAGGCATTAACCCTGTAAACAAGTTGTTCAAGATTTTAGAAGGTCGAGGATAAGTTAATAATAAAAAAAAACGTTAATACTAACAGTGTGTGTAGGACTCGCCTGGTTCGTGGTCTCCCTGCCAAGAGGTTATCCTCGGAGTCCATGGCGTGCTGGCTCCAAAGTTCGGCCCGCCATTGTCCGCTGGAGAGGGACCCCTGTCCTCCTGCCCACCGCCCGTCCACACAGCACCAACGGTTGTCTGCTGCAAAGACAGAACGCAGTTATGAGAAAAAGGTAGTCAAGGGGCGCTCAGAGTATCCTTTATTTTACTTCGTGTTCTAACCACAACGTTGATCGTAATAAAGCCTCACTGGAAACCCTGACGGCAGGGAACTGTCTATTTCAGTCCGCACCGCCATTGGATAAACACAAGTCAGACATATCCGTGAAGTGAGGCATTGCTAGCACGGATATGGCACTCAAGTGAGGCATTGTGTGTGTCCTTTAACGTAAATATATGGCACTCGAGTTAGGCACTGAAAGACTGGTAGCAAAAGTGCACATCACTTAAAACACCGCGTTATTATTATTGTTGATAAATAAGACACATGTGCAACTCTTGGGTATCTTTATTGAGGAAACGTTTCGCCACACAGTGGCTTCATCAGTCCATACAAAGGAGAATCTTGAAGAACAAGAGGAGAATGAGGTAATCAGTCCCTCAACCTTGAGTCGATGTGGTCAGTCCATCAATCTTGAATAGAATACGGCATACGTGCTGAGAAGGAGCTTATAAACCGTTGGCAGGAGAGGTGCAGCAGTCATAGGTGGTGTCACATTTGTTCAATGTTGAAGTAGGTCGTGCCCAAGAATTAGGCAAGCGAAGAATTCCCAAGTATTAAGATCCCAAGAAGTTGCAGTGTCTGACAGGTTTGTAGATGAATGGTTCAGAGAACCGACACATGTTTCTTATTTATCAACATGTTGGTTCTGTGAACCATTTATCTACATTATTATTGTACATGATAATTATTGTATATGATAATTATTGTATATGATAATCTACTTGAACTTAGCTGTTGTGGCACAGGTTGAATTCTAGCTCTTAGCCCAACCAGTTTTACCTAGTTGTGCCTGGGATTCACACACTCCTGGCCTCATGGGCCCTATCATACCTAGTCTTAAATCTGTGCATGGAATATGCCTTCATCACTTTTCACCCAGATCATTCCACTTTTTAGTTACTCTGCTGCTGATGTAGTATTTCCTGTCATTACTGTTTCCCAGTGTTCTTATTTACCCTCCATATTAATAGCATTTTCCTGCCTGTCTCGTCAAGTCCTCAGTATCATATACATCGTAACCATATCTTCTTGAATATTGTCTTTTCCAATGTTATCATATTCAACTTTTTCAGTTTCTCTTTGTTTTGGAATTAATTTTATTGCGAATCAGTAATTTATCAAGTTTCTTGATAATCTTTATCAGATGTTTATCATGGTGTTTTATACTCCAGGATAGGACTGATATGTCTCACTTGACTCCTTGTTGAGGTTCCTAAATGCTTATTTTAAATTCGCCAACCCCGCATACAAAGCAGAAGTTATCCTATTGATTCGCGCGTCTGGGGATATGCTAGATATGTTCATCACCAAGTGTATCCCTAGGAAGTTTTCGAGTGAGATCAGCAGCCGCTGTTCCTCGAGCCTGTATTCACTTCTCAGTCTTTTGTTTCCCTTACCCAATTTACATTATATGGTATTGCTTGGGGTTGAATTCCAGCAGCCACTTCTCTGATGAATCTTGCAATTTGTTTAGATTATATCATGGTGTTTTCATGTTGTGTGCTCGTTTTTGAAACATGCTAGCAGAACTACAGAGAATTCTCACTCGTCAGGCTTGTCGCTCACATACAGCAGAAACAGTTCAAGAATGTGAGGTGCATCCATTCCTTTCCTACTTATTTCTCTTACTAAGTCATAAAATTCACGGAGGTTTTCGTGACACAGGATTTACCATCTCTAAAATCTCTGCTGGTTGTTGTTTAGTAACACGCTTTTGTCTTCAAGACTTCCACTACGCTGATTATTTTCTTCACTGCCTTACACAGCATGCATGACTAGAATGATGGAATGTTTTTTTCTTCTTGTGTGTGTGTGTGTGTGTGTGTGTGTGTGTGTGTGTACTGTATACTCCTCACCTATTTGTACCCACATGTTGTGGTTGCAGGGGTCTATTCATAGCTCCTGGCCCCGCCTCTTTACTAGTCCCTGCTGGGTTTACTCTCTCCCTGCTCCAAGAACCTTATCGTGGGTGTACTCACTTAGTTGTAGTTACAGGGGTCGATTCACAGCTCCTGGCCCAGCCTCTTCACTGGTCGATACTAGGTCACTCTTCCTGCTCAATGAGCTTCATCATACCTCTTCTTAAAGCTATGTATGGATCCTGCCTCCACTACATCACTTCCCAGAAATACTTCCTAACATCCCTGTGATTCATCTGAGTCTTCAACCTCCAGCTGTAACCCCTTGTTGTTGTGTCCCATCTCTGGATCATCCTGTCTCTGTCCATCTTGTCGATTCCTCTCAGTATTTTATGTGTTGTCATCATATCCTCCCCCCCATCTCTCCTGTCCTCCAGTGTCGTCAGGTCGATTTCCCTTAGCCTCTCCTCGTAGGAGAGGTTAAGGGACTAGGCTTGTCGCAAACCTTTGTACTTTCTCTAATTTCTTTACGTGCTTGGTTAGGTGTGGGTTTCAAACTGTACACAAATAACCCGCAGATAGAAGAGAGAAGCTTACGACGACGTTTCGGTCCGACTTGGACCATTTACAAAGACATACTAACGAGAAGGAGAGCAGGGCGGGTACATGTACATTCACTACTTTTCTTATCATGCTTCCTCTGTCAAGAAAAGTGTTCTTATCTCCCTCTTTCTCCGTGCTCTCCGCATATGTGATCCTCAGTTCATTCAATCAGAAATTTCCACTCTTCATAATTCAGTTTCCCGTCTTGGCTACCCTTCCCATTTCATAGACTCTGCCCTCTCACGTGCTAAACGTAATTTCTTCTCTCCCAAACTCTCTACTCCTGGGAACTCTTCTGTCCTCTGCCTTCCCTACATTTCCGGTCTTTCTAATCTCAACAACTCTCTCCGTTCCTTAGACATCAAACTTACTTTCCGCTAGACTAACACTCTTCGCACTAATCTCGTTCATACCTCTCCTCCCTCTACAGATGTTCCTGGTGTCTACTCTATTTCTTGTTCCTCCTGTCCTCTTCAGTACTTTGGAGAAACTGGTCGATCTCTTTCTGACAGACTTAGGGAGCACAAAAATAGTGTTAGGCTTGCCGACACTAACAATGCTCTGTTCTGTCACGTCAGAGATCACAGCCATCCTATTGACTGGTCTTCTGCTAAAACTGTCTTCCCTACTTCCAACTTCAACAGTCGCCGTCTGGTTGAATCCTCCCTAATACACAATTTTCCTTTTATGAATCATAGCCGTGGCTTCGTCTCTGTAGATGCCTTCCTCTCCCACTACATTGTAAAATGCTCCACACTTCAGAACACCCGTGACTTAACCTGATTCCTACTTTTTTCTTCTTCTCCCTCTTCCCCTTTCTTTTTTCCTTTTTCTCCTTTGGGTTGTCTTTCTTCTGCCCTGTGTATTTGTTCCTTCTTTATTTACTTATTTATTTGTTCCCCCCCTCAGTGTTCTTGCTCTTACCCTCTGTGGGCACCAGCTCCCTTGCAGTGCTCCTCTTTCTTAGTATCTGACTGGCCCCTCCTACTCTTACCACCTCCCCACTACTACTTCCTTCCCTCCACTACTACCACTACTACCACTACCACCTCCTGCCTATATATATATATATATACCCATCCAATATGGGCCTGACGTACACGGTGTACAGGGTCCTGAATGATTCCTTATTGAGATGCCGGAATGCTATTCTTGGGATTACTAGGTACCCGTATGCTGCAGCAGTTATTTGGTTGATGTGCGCCTCAGGAGATGTACCTGGTGTTATACTCACCCCAAGATCCTTTTCCTTAAGTGAGGTTTGTAGTCTCTGGCCCCCTAGAGTAAACTCCGTCTGCGGTTTTCTTTGCCCTTCCCCAATCTTCATGACTTTGCACTCAGTGGAGTTGAACTCCAGGAACCAGTTTATGGACTAGGACTGCAGACTGTCCAGGTCCCTATGTAGTTCTGCCTTGTCCTCATCCGATTGAATTTTTCCCATTAACTTCACATCATTTGCAAACAAGGACACTTCTGAGTCAATTCCTTACGTCATATTCACATATACCAGAAACAGCACCAGTCCTAGGACTGATCCCTGTGGGACTTCGCTCGTCACAGGCACCCACTCTGATACCTCGTCACCTACCATGACTCGCTGTTGTCTTCCCGACAGGTATTCCCTGATTAATTGCAGTGCCTTCTTTGTTATCCCTGCCTGGTCCTCCAGCTATTGCACTAATTTCTTGTGTGGAACTGTGTCAAACGCCTTTTTAGAGGCCAAGAAAACACATTTACCCACCTCTCTCTCTCTCTCTCTCTCTCTCTCTCTCTCTCTCTCTCTCTCTCTCTCTCTCTCGTCTTACTACTGTCACCCTGTTATAGAACTCCAGTAGGTTTGTGACAGGATTTCCCGTCCCTGAAACCGTGCTGGTTGTCGTTGATAAGCTCATTCCTTTCTAGGTGTTCCCCCACTCTTCTGATAATCTTCTCCATGACTTTGCATACTGTACATGTCAGTGACACTGGTCTGTATTCTAATGCTTCGTGTCTGTCTCCTTTTTTGAAAACTGGGACTACATTTGCTGTCTTTCATACCTCAGGTAGTCGCCCTGTTTCGATAGATGTATTAAAGATTGTTGTTAGTGGTACACATAATGCCTCTGCTCAGTCTCTCAGGACTCATGGAGAGATGTTATCTGGCCCCATCGTCTTTGAGGTATCTAGCTAGCTTAGCAGCCTCTTCACTTCTTCTTCGGTTGTATGTATTGTGTCCAACACTTGGTGTACCCCATCTCTGTCTTTCTGGAGTCCTTTTTGTCTCTTCTCTGAACACTTCTTTGAATCTCGTGTTGAGTTCCTCACATATTTCGTGGTCGTTTCTTGTGATCTCCCCTCCTTCCTTCATCAGCCTGATTACCTGGTTCTTGACTGTTGTTTTCCTCCTGATGTGGCTGTACAACAGCTTCGGTTCAGCTTTGGTTTTCGCTGCTATGTCATTCTCATATTGTCGTTGGGCCTCCTTTCTTACCTGTGCATATTCATTTCTGGCTCCACGACTGCTCTCCTTATTCTCCTGGGTCCTTTACCTTCTATACTTGTGTGTGTGTGTGTGTGTGTGTGTGTGAGAGAGAGAGAGAGAGAGAGAGAGAGAGAGAGAGAGAGAGAGAGAGGAGAGAGAGAGAGAGAGAGAGAGAATTCCACAGTAAACGTGGTAGCTGGGGACGAAATGAGTCAGTAGTGCATATCACTGCATATCACCATCCTTCTCACACGCTGATTCATCAGTGCATATATATCACTGCAAAACTCTTCCTCTCAAACGTTGATTCATCAGTACATGCCACTGCAAAACTGCCTTTTTCACACGTCGAATCAACACAAAGAGGAAGGGAATATTTAGCACTTAAGTGGAGAAGTGTCCAGCACTTAAATGGAGGAGTGTCCAGCACTTAAGTGGAGGAGTGTCCAGCACTTAAGTGGAGGAGTGTCCAGCACTTAAGTGGAGGAGTGTCCAGCACTTAAGTGGAGGAGTGCCCAGCACTTAAGTGGAGGAGTGTCCAGCACTTAAGTGGAGGAGTGTCCAGCACTTAAGTGGAGGAGTGTCCAGCACTTAAATGGAGGAGTGTGCAGCACTTAAGTGGAGGAGTGTCCAGCAGTTCAAGAGCATCTGTCAATTACTTTGCTAGAAATAGTACCCAGGTAGAGAGATTATCTGCTGGATATGATGGTAGTGTGTTCCATACTTACTGTAGTGAATAAAATATCCGGCACTTAGGTACAGAGAGAGTATCCGGCACTTACTGAGGCTGAGAGTGAGTATCCGGCACTTACTTAGGTAGAGAGAGAGAGTATCTGGCACTTAGGTAGAGAGAGAGTATCCGGGACATACTGAGATTGAGAGAGAGTATACGGCACTTACTGAGGCTGAGAGAGAGTATCCGGCACTTACTTAGGTAAAGAGAGAGTATCCGGCACTTACTTAGGTAGAGAGAGAGAGTATCATGCATTTACTTAGGTAGAGAAAGAATCAGGCACTTACTGAGGTAAAGAGAGTATCCGACACTTACTGAGGTAAAGAGAGTATCCGACACTTACTGAGATAGAGAGTATCCGGCACTTACTGAGGTAAAGAAAGTATCCGACACTTACTGAGGTAGAGAGAGTATCCGACACTTACTGAGATAAAGAGAGTATCCGGCACTTACTGAGGTAAAGAGAGTATCCGACACTTACTGAGGAAAAGAGAGTATCCGACACTTACTGAGGTAAAGAGAGTATCCGACACTTATTGAGGTAAAAAGAGTATCCGGCACTTACTGAGGTAAAGAGAGTATCCAACGCTTACTGAGGTAAAGAGTATCCGGCACTTACTGAGGTAAAGAGAGTGTCCGACACTTACTGAGGTAGAGTATCCGACACTTACTGAGGTAAAGAGAGTATCCAGCGCTTACTGAGATAAAAAGAGTATCCGGCACTTGCTGAGGTAAAGAGAATATCCGGCACTTACTGAGGTAAAGAGAGTATCCGGCACTTACTGAGATAAAGAGAGTATCCGGCACTTACTGAGGTAAAGAGAGTATCCGGCACTTATTGAGGTAAAGAGAGTATCCGGCACTTACTGAGGTAAAGAGAGTATCCGCACTTACTGAGGTAAGAGAGTATCCGGCACTTACTGAGGTAAAGAGAGCATCCGGCACTTACTGAGGTAAGAGAGTATCCGAGCACTTACTGAGGTAAAGAGAGTATCCGGCACTTACTGAGGTAAAGAGAGTATCCGGCACTTACTGAGGTAAAGAGAGTATCCGGCACTTACTGAGGTAAAGAGAGCATCCGGCACTTACTGAGGTAAAGAGAGTATCCGGCACTTACTGAGGTAAAGAGAGTATCCCTCACTTACTGAGGTAAAGAGAGTATCCGGCACTTATTGAGGTAAAGAGAGTATCCGGCACTTACTGAGGTAAAGAGAGTATCCGGCACTTACTGAGGTAAAGAGAGTATCCGGCACTTACTGAGGTAAAGAGAGCATCCGGCACTTACTGAGGTAAAGAGAGTATCCGGCACTTACTGAGGTAAAGAGAGTATCCCTCACTTACTGAGGTAAAGAGAGTATCCGGCACTTACTGAGGTAGAGAGTATCCCTCACTTACTGAGGTAAAGAGAGTATCCGGCACTTACTGAGGTAGAGAGTATCCCTCACTTACTGATGTAAAGAGAGTATCCGGCACTTATTGAGGTAAAGAGAGTATCCGGCACTTACTGAGGTAAAGAGAGTATCCGGCACTTACTGAGGTAAAGAGAGTATCCGGCACTTACTGAGGTAAAGAGAGCATCCGGCACTTACTGAGGTAAAGAGAGTATCCGGCACTTACTGAGGTAAAGAGAGTATCCCTCACTTACTGAGGTAAAGAGAGTATCCGGCACTTACTGAGGTAAAGAGAGTATCCCTCACTTACTGAGGTAAAGAGAGTATCCGGCACTTACTGAGGTAGAGAGTATCCCTCACTTACTGAGATAAAGAGAGTATCCGGCACTTACTGAGGTAGAAAGTATCCCTCACTTACTGAGATAAAGAGAGTATCCGGCACTTACTGAGGTAGAAAGTAGCCCTCACTTACTGAGATAAAGAGAGTATCCGGCACGGTCAAACACATCCTTCAGCTCACTCAGGGCAGTGAAGTTTTTGGTATGAAAGGTTATATCAGCGTCTCTTTCCCAGGGCATCACACCGCTAGTCTTGACGGCTCCTGCAGGCGAGACCGATTATTATCATTATTATTTGTATTATTATTATTTTTATTATTATTGTATTCAAAATTCTTCGCTATATTTGTTTAAGTTACACGGGAAGCCGTGGTGCTGTTAGACTTCATGTGCGTATGTGAGCGATAAAATTCAATCCTCATTGGGAATCCTCTGATGAAAACATCGTGTGCTGTCCACTTGTCACTTTGCCCTCCAGGAAGGTTCCCTGACGCATCTGAGGGGTTCTGATAAAAAAAAGAAAATCTCCTCTTTGCGTAGAACCTGATTGCCTACTGGTTTAGTGCTCTTCCCCATCCCCACCCCTACATTTCGGTGGCCAGGCAAGCCACTGAATAACTCTAGACAAGAAGTACTATATTATTATCATTGGGAAGCGCTAAACCAGTAGAGGTCATGCTGGGAAAGAAGAGGCAATTGGGTTCCGTTGAAGGAACGAGAGAACCGGTTCAATTTCTTTTATCAAGAGCCCCTCATAGACATCAAGGCCCCTCCCTTGAGAAGTGGAGAGCAGGTACTGTAAGGAAAGTGCCTGCTCACCTAGTAGCGTGCCTTCCTGCAGCTCACACAGCAGTCCGTGAGCCTCGCAGGTGTCCATCAGGAAGCGGACGAGGGTGGCTAGTTCCTGACGACAACAAGGAGGCAGTGCCAGGCCGGTGTCGGCGCAGCTGGTACCCACCTCCTTGCAGGAGAAGGTTGCTCGCACTGCCCCAGCAGCGTCGACAGTGTACAGGCTGTGTCGGCGGGCCAGGCTCAGCAGGGCCACTCGTGACGGTGGCCCCAGCTCCTCTTTCAGAGTAAAGAGTGATTTAGGACACGCCGCTGCCAGCATGTGGTTAGTGTGTGATGCTCTCAGGAACAGATCCACCTGAGAGACTTGCCTGGGTAGTTTGGTGTCCCAGCCAAGGTGCCGCAAGGCCGCGGTAAGTGCCAAAAATGGCCCTTCTAGTCCCTGGCATATTAAACATTGATCAGCAGTACCCAATTGTCCCCGTGCCCAGCCTGCCTGGTAGTGAGCGTAAGTAGAGGTGAGGCATCCTGTGTGCCAGTGACCTGAAGGAGTCTCCAGCCCACCCCCAACTGCCCACACTCCCAGGTGCTCTGCTGTCCACACCAGCCGCTCTAGTCGCGCCAGCGGTGTGAGTGACGACACACCCGTGGCCACCAGCAGGTAGGGTGTAGTGACGTGCCTCAGCACCTCCATGTAAGCCACACTGGTGCTAGTGTTGGCCTCTACACTGTGAACCACAAGATGAAGGTGCTGATGTACCTCAGGGGTGGCAGGTGTGCGGGTTATCAAATGTACAGTCATCCCAGGGTAGCTACGACCCATGCTAGCAATAACCTCATCCCGCTCATCACACATTACCACTACCGACACCAACCTACGTACACCCACTCTATCCAAGTCTGAATATAATTTAGCTGCTCCTTTAGACTTTTCATTACTCGTCTGTGTCATTCCTACTACCCACTGTGGACCACTGCTTCCTCCCTTGCCCTCATTCATTATCTTTCTCCATATCTCTCTTCCTTCCTCAAACTTTGTCCTCTGTCTTGACGAATCACTCGTTTTATTAACACTTAGCTGATGACGGAAGCCACTGGAGAAAATCGTTTGTATCTTTTCCCTGTTTCCAGTTCGTGATATTCTGGGTGTGTGTATGTGTCCAGTTTCTTCAGTGTAGGTGTTAGCGTCAACACGAACACGGCTGCCAGACTGGCTCAGCTGAGCTCGGTTTGCGCTGAGAGTCTGCGCATATCGGGACATAGATAAATCGACGTTATTATTTTTTAATTTCTCGTGTTTGTTATTCGCCGTCACCAGTTGTTGTCTTTGGCTCGCTTCCTCTGATATTTCGACCGGATAGACGCGACGGATGTTCTCGTGTCTAGCATCAAGCATAGACTCTTCGTTGCGTCGGTGTGAACCACTGGCATCGTTTTTGATTTCCGACTTGGAGTCTTCGATCTCCTCCTGTTTACGTGGCTGAGTGGAGGTGATCTGGTCTCTCTTGTTTACGTTGCTGCCTGGCGGCTGTGTAATGGAAGGCTTGTGGAGGTAGGGGTTGAGGCGTGGTGAGAAGTGCGTGGTCAGTGTATGTTGGAGGTGGGCTACCCTCTCCCCAAGGGTAGCCACCTCCTCCTGCACGTCCCCGGCAACCTGCAACAGCAACCCAACATGGATATCATTGCCACTATATCTCCACTAACTGCTGAATTGTATTTCATACTCACCTTATGATGATAACATAAATTTTCCTATTTCCTCCATAACTGTTATTAATGAACCATTGTTATTACAGCTAGGACTATCATAATTGTTATTACTGAATTATTGCTATTACAGCTAGGACTATCATAATTGTTATTACTGAATCATTGTTATTACAGCTAGGACTATCATAACTGTTATTACTGAATCATTGTTATTACAGCTAGGACTATCATAATTGCCCTAGATTGCAAATTAAAAAACTCACATTTATTCGTTATCACATAAAAACATAGGAGAAAATGCCTCGGTTAAAACTAACAACAAAGAAACATACTTCGTCTACGTTCATGGGCTCACACACAATCTTCAAATGAATTAATTCCTCTCAAAATATGCGTGCAAACACACAAAAGGATCTCGGGTATCTCTATGTGGTTTGTTATGTGCCACTGTGATATTTACCCATACATGCAGTTTGTTATTTCTTCATACAGCATATACATGACCTGCTAACATTTTTTCTCAATAACTGTATAGTAGTTCTTTCAGCACTTATTACTTGGTTAAATTTACTTTGACTTCTATTATTTTGTTGATTCCGAATTGGCCTTTCCCACAAATTCTCTTGATTTTTTCAATGTGCGTAAATACCAGTCGATAGTCGTAAACCTAACATACGAAGCATTTTTTTTCACTGAATATATACACCACATTTGTGTCTCTTAGTGAATATATGCGAGAGTTTGCTTGAATCCTTATGGCTTAAAGTATTTTTGATTTGGGAATATATTGTCGGTAGGTTTGGAGTCTTAGTAACCAACCAACAATTTGTTCACATTGTATACATTCTGAAGGGTGAAATTTGTGTGTGTGTGTGTGTGTGTGTGTGTGTGTGTGTGTGTGTGTGTGTGTGTGTGTGTGTGTAGACAGTGAGGGCAACAGCGTACATCTCACGGTAATTAGGTGCAACCAGCTTTCATGAAATCACTAAACATATCAGTAAATTCATCCCAGGGTTACGTTACGTTTTAGAGATTCAGTCAACAGTATATAAGGGATTTCATAAAATTACTGTCCACCTGTTTTGGAATTTCATGTACTAAGTGATTATCTTAATGATTAAAGGTAAAAACTAGAGGTAACATGGATTACCTGCATTGCTAATGTAGTTTTCAAGAACTTCACGTAATTCTTTCCTTCACACGTTTAATGTAACATAAATACTAAATTCCGAGAACAAGAGCCTAGTAAACCCTCGTGTATAAATTACTAAATGTAAAAAGAAGAAAAACTTTCGTTCCATCTTTTTTCGGGTCACCCTGTCTCGGTGGGAGACGACTCTTATCTTTATATTATATATATATATATATATATATATATATATATATATATATATATATATATATATATATATATATATATATATTATATATATTATAGAGAGAGAGAGAGTTTAATCCCTATCCCTATTCATGGTTACCCATCTTCAATATGATCAGTTTTATCTTTATCCTGGTATACGACCCACAACAGCCAATCAGCACTAGGGTGCCTTTGTACTGCTAGGGAAACACAGCCAACAGGTGTAAGAAGACTTGTTTAAGTTGTTTACTGGTAGGAAACAGAAGCAGCAGATGTAAGGAAGTTTGGCCACTCGTCTTGACCTTCCAGAACTGAACTTAAGATATCTGTGGACTCTTTTTGCTTTAATTTTGGAACAAGTTATTAAAAACTTTATGATAGCTTTAACGCAGCATGAGTAATACATTTAGATACGAGACTGACCTCTTGTGCTTTCTTGAGCTTAACCCTGAGAGCTGTGAAGGTGGTGTGGAGTGTGTAGTAATAGAAGGCAGCAACACCGCCCACCTCCTGCATCTCTGCTCCTCCTGCTGAGCTAACTTTATCCTTGTTCCTTGTGGCTACTCCCAGAGCCCAGGCCAGATGAGCTCCCCAGCTGGTGTCTCCTGTCGTGCTGGAAATGTGCTCCTGGTCTTCACCTTGCCCCTGCGGACAGGTCTTGCCCACACCCCAGCACACCTCACAGGGGTCCGCCTCTCGAGGTGTTGGGGTGTGGGCGGCGGCCACATGAGCAACGTGGTACACTCTTGAAAAAAAAAAAACAGGGTGAGCAGTCAGACAAGTGATGTGGTGATACATTCATTTCTCTATATATCTATTTCAATAGCAGTTTTCAAAAATAATTTTTTTATATTAGCTATTTTTCATAATGTTTTAAATAATAAATGACCGTATAAATAATAAATTTTAATAAACGATTATAACATTTTCATTTAGTAATGAAATAAGGGAAAATAGAGTATGGTCTCAGGAAATATACCCTGAGAGGTATATTTCTCTCAGCTATATATGCTGAGTGGTTAATCCCTATTTTAGAGATTAGAGTATTCTGGTGGTGAAAAGGTTACCTTGTAGCCTTAATGACCCTAGTGTAATCCAAAGACTTTAAACCCCCATTAACCAAGCAGTATGATCGAGAAGAATAGACACTAGATGCAAGTATTGACTTAATTGAGAAACTAGTAACTTAATGGAACTGGAAATGCTAGTATTGACTTACTGGTGCAGAAACTGTTGACTTACTGGGAAAGGAACTAGTAACGTACTGGCACAGGAGCTACTAACTTACTAGTGCAGGAACTAGTGATTTACTAGTGCAGGAACTAGTGATTTACTAGTGCAGGAACCAGTGACTTGGTGTAGGTTCAGAAACTGGTGACTTATTGGTGCTAGAACTAGTGATAATTATGAATTAAGGAAGTACCTGAAGACATGGTAGTCAGGCAGTGTGACTGAGAGGAAGAGCAGCATCCATGAACATCCAGTCAAGGTCAGGAGGAACATTTGGATGGATGCGTTGCGTCCCATAGCTCATCTGTTTCTCGCTTCTGTTATCCTCGCCTGTTGTTGCTCGTATCTCACCGCCTCTCGCTTTACACCCCTTTTAAACTACTCCCCTGCCCTGCAAGTCATCCGCTTCCATAAGCCCTTGTGGGCGAGGGTGAGCCACGCCCATGGTGGTGGGTGCTGGGGTGGACTACACTCGCAGGATCAGTGGAGTCTGTAGAAGAAATTGTAACATTCAGTGTTGTCTCTGAAAGTATTTACGTCTACCCGTAAATAGATGAAAATTCACAAGCCATACCTGGGAGTCTACCTGCAGGGTATTTCAGGGATCAACGCCCCAGCGATCCGGTCTACGACCAGGCCTCCCGGTGTATCAAGGCCTGATCAACCAGGCTCTTGCTGCTGGCCGCACGTTGATAATTCAAGTTAAAAGGGCGTTTCGCTCAGTTCTCAGCTATTATCAGGTCACAACTAAGTTACAATATGATGTGAAAGGGAAAAGATCAAGACGTGAGAGTAAACATCAGAAAACTGTGTCAGCCAGTTTGTCAATTTCTATACATGCAAATCCTTCAGCGATTTCTGTGCCTTATCTTGAGATCGGGTTGGATATATTTTGACTGGATAAGTGCCAATATGTCGATTATATTTAAAAAACATATTCTTGTGAAAACTTCAGAATACCTCTTCTGGACTACTTCAGACTGTAATCATAGATGAATCTTAACTTGGTGATTCTTTGTAGTTTTAAATATGTATGTATGTACTAATTTGTTATTTTCTGTAATACAGTTCAGTGCTAGGTTCATGGTATATTGCAGTTCAGTGCTAGGTTCATGGTACATTGCAGTTCAGTGCTACGTTCATGGTACATTGCAGTTCAGTGCTACGTTCATGGTACATTGCTGTTCAGTGCTACGTTCATGGTACATTGCAGTTCAGTGCTACGTTCATGGTACATTGCAGTTCAGTGCTACGTTCATGGTACATTGCAGTTCAGTGCTACGTTCATGGTACATTGCAGTTCAGTGCTACGTTCATGGTACATTGCAGTTCAGTGCTACGTTCATGGTACATTGCAGTTCAGTGCTACGTTCATGGTACATTGCAGTTCAGTGCTACGTTCATGGTACATTGCAGTTCAGTGCTACGTTCATGGTACATTGCAGTTCAGTGCTACGTTCATGGTACATTGCAGTTCAGTGCTACGTTCATGGTACATTGCAGTTCAGTGCTACGTTCATGGTACATTGCAGTTCAGTGCTACGTTCATGGTACATTGCAGTTCAGTGCTACGTTCATGGTACATTGCAGTTCAGTGCTACGTTCATGGTACATTGCAGTTCAGTGCTACGTTCATGGTACATTGCAGTTCAGTGCTACGTTCATGGTACATTGCAGTTCAGTGCTACGTTCATGGTACATTGCAGTTCAGTGCTACGTTCATGGTACATTGCAGTTCAGTGCTACGTTCATGGTACATTGCAGTTCAGTGCTACGTTCATGGTACATTGCAGTTCAGTGCTACGTTCATGGTACATTGCAGTTCAGTGCTACGTTCATGGTACATTGCAGTTCAGTGCTACGTTCATGGTACATTGCAGTTCAGTGCTACGTTCATGGTACATTGCAGTCCTACATTTCAAATGTACAACTGAGCTGTAAGGTAGAACTGTCGCGCAAGACTGCACGACAGTTCTGTATTACAGTGCTATATTACAGTGCTACATCAGTGCTGCATTACATTACTAAATTGATGTTACATTGCAGTGCTGGAATAGTGTTACATAACATTGCTATATTGCTGTTACAGTACTGTTGTGTTACATTGCTAAATGAGTGTTTAAGTATAGTGCTACATTATAGTGCTACATAAGTGATACATTTAGTTTACAATATAGCGTTACGTTGGTGTTAAATTATAGTGCTACATTAGTGCTACTTTAGTGTTAGATTTGTGTTAAGTTAGGTTGCATTTCAGTGTTCCTTTGCAATGTTACGTGAGTGCTACACTAGTGTAACATTAAGGTGATACATAAATGCTACATTAGAGTTTGTGGTTACAGGAAAGTGGGTGCGGGAGGGAAGAGGAGCGACTGGTGGAATGATGTACAGAGAGTAGTAAGGGAGAAAAAGTTAGCATATGAGAAGTTTTTACAAAGTAGAAGTGATGCAAGGAGGGAGGAGTATATGGAGAAGAGAGAGGTTAAGAGAGTGGTGAAGCAATGTAAAAAGAGAGCAAATGAGAGAGTGGGTGAGATATCAACAAATTTTGTTGAAAATAAGAAAAAGTTTTGGAGTGAGATGAACAAGTTAAGGAAGCCTAGAGAACAAATGGATTTGTCAGTTAAAATAGGAGAGGAGAGTTATTAAATGGAAAGTAAGAGGTATTGGGAAGATGGAGGGAATATTTTGAGGAATTGTTAAATGTTGATGAAGATAGGGAAGCTGTGATTTCGTGTATAGGGCAAGGAGGAATAACATCTTGTAGGAGTGAGGAAGAGCCAGTTGTGAGTGTGGGGAAAGTTCGTGAGGCAGTAGGTAAAATGAAAGGGGGTAAGGCAGCCGGGATTGAAGGGATAAAGATAGAAATGTTAAAAGCAGGTGGGGATATAGTTTTGGAGTGGTTGGTGCTATTATTTAATGTATGGAAGAGGGTAAGGTACCTAGGGATTGGCAGAGAGCATGCATAGTTCCTTTGTATAAAGGCAAAGGGGACAAAAAAGAGTGCAAAAACTATAGGGGGATAAGTCTGTTGAGTGTACCTGGTAAAGTGTATGGTAGAGTTATTATTGAAAGAATTAAGAGTAAGACGGAGAATAGGATAGCAGATGAACAAGGAGGCTTTAGGAAAGGTAGGGGGTGTGTAGACCAGGTGTTCACGGTGAAACATGTAAGTAAACAGTATTTAGAGAAGGCTAAAGAGGTTTTTGTGGCATTTATGGATTTGGAAAAGGCGTATGACAGAATGGATAGGGAGGCAATGTGGCAGATGTTGCAGGGGTATGGTGTAGGAGGTAGGTTACTGAAAGCAGTGAAGAGTTTTTACGAGGATAGTGAGGCTCAAGTTAGAGTATGTAGGAAAGAGGGAGATTATTTCCCAGTAAAAGTAGGCCTTAGACAAGGATGTGTGATGCCACCGTGGTTGTTTAATATATTTATAGATGGGGTTGTAAGAGAAGTAAATGCGAGGGTCTTGGCAAGAGGCGTGGAGTTAAAAGATAAAGAATCACACATAAAGTGGGAGTTGTCACAGTTGCTCTTTGCTGATGACACTGTGCTCTTGGGAGATTCTGAAGAGAAGTTACAGAGGTTGGTGGATGAATTTGGTAGGGTATGCAGAAGAAGAAAATTAAAATTGAATACAGGAAAGAGTAAGGTTATGAGGATAACAAAAAGATTAGGTGATGAAAGATTGGATATCAGATTGGAGGGAGAGTATGGAGGAGGTGAATGTATTCAGATATTTGGGAGTGGACGTGTCAGCGGATGGGTCTATGAAAGATGTGAATCATAGAATTGATGAGGGGAAAAGGGTGAGCGGTGCACTTAGGAGTCTGTGGAGACAAAGAACTTTGTCCTTGGAGGCGAAAAGGGGAATGTATGAGAGTATAGTTTTACCAACGCTCTTATATGGGTGTGAAGCATGGGTGATGAATGTTGCAGCGAGGAGAAGGCTGGAGGCAGTGGAGATGTCATGTCTGAGAGCAATGTGTGGTGTGAATATAATGCAGAGAATTCGTAGTTTGGAAATTAGGAGGAGGTGCGGGATTGCCAAATTGTTGTCCAGAGGGGTGAGGAAGGGTTGTTGAGGTAGTTCGGACATGCAGAGAGAATGGAGCGAAACAGAATAACTTCAAGAGTGTATCAGTCTGTAGTGGAAGGAAGACGGGGTAGGGGTCGGCCTAGGAAAGGTTGGAGGGAGGGGGTAAAGGAGGTTTTGTGTGTGAGGGGCTTGGACTTCCAGCAGGCATGCGTGAGCGTGTTTGATAGGAGTGAATGTAGACAAATGGTTTTTAATACTTGACATGCTGTTGGAGTGTGAGCAAAGTAACATTTATGAAGGGGTTCAGGGAAACCGGCAGACCGGACTTGAGTCCTGGAGATGGGAAGTACAGTGCCTGCACTCTGAAGGAGGGGTGTTAATGTTGCAGTTTAAAAACTGTAGTGTAAAGCACCCTTCTGGCAAGACAGTGATGGAGAGAATGATGGTGAAGGTTTTACTTTTTCGGGCCACCCTGCCTTGGTGGGCCACCCTGCCTTGGTGGGCCACCCTGCCTTGGTGGGCCACCCTGCCTTGGTGGGCCACCCTGCCTTGGTGGGCCACCCTGCCTTGGTGGGAATCGGCCAGTGTGTTAATAAAAAAAAATTTGTGTTACATAAGTGCTACATAAATGCTACATTAGTGTTACGTTAGTGTTACATTTCTGCTACATTAGTGTTACGTTAGTGTTACATTTCTGCTACATTAGTGTTACATTTGTGTTACAGTGCTACATAAGTGCTAATTATTGATACAGTGTTACATTATTTATATATTAGTAATATATAAGTGTTGTATTATTGATATATTACAGTGGTACATAAGCGTTATATTGATACATTACAGTGGTACATAAGCGTTATATTGATACATTAGAGTGGTACATAAGCGTTATATTATTGATATATTACAGTGGTACATAAGCGTTGTATTATTGATACATTACAGTGGTACATAAGTGTTGTATTATTGATACATTACAGTGGTACATAAGTGTTGTATTATTGATACATTACAGTGGTACATAAGTGTTGTATTATTGATACATTACAGTGGTACATAAGTGTTGTATTATTGATACATTACAGTGGTACATAAGCGTTGTATTATTGATACATTACAGTGGTACATAAGCGTTATATTATTGATACATTACAGTGGTACATAAGCGTTATATTATTGATACATTACAGTGGTACATAAGTGTTGTATTATTGATACATTACAGTGGTACATAAGTGTTGTATTATTGATACATTACAGTGGTACATAAGCGTTATATTATTGATACATTACAGTGGTACATAAGCGTTATATTATTGATACATTACAGTGGTACATAAGCGTTGTATTATTGATACATTACAGTGGTACATAAGCGTTATATTGATACATTACAGTGGTACATAAGCGTTATATTGATACATTACAGTGGTACATAAGTGTTGTAT